AGGAAGAATCACCCTAGCAATCACAATAGAGACAAAACCTCGATAGGTGACCAGGATGACCAAACTCTTGGTCGTGAAGATAGGATCCCCGTATAATGCCATCATTGGGAGGCCGACTCTTCATGCACTCAAGGTGGCCATTTCATTATATTACATTGCAATCAAATTTCCCACTGAGCATGGAGTCAGTCATCAGGGGAAATCAATAGACAGCTAGACATTGCTATGTGGAAGCACTAAAAGGAAAAAATAAAGAAGCTTTATCGTTGGAAGGGCTCAACCTTAGGGATGAACTAGTGAGTCGAGGACAACCAGTCGAGGACCTCGTCTTAGTTCCCCAAGATGAGGCCGATCCTAAGAAGATGGTGCATGTTGGGTCCCAACTTTCTCAAAACTAATGCCAACGTCTTTGCTTGGTCTTTCGATGACATGCCAGGAATTGACCCCTCGATCATTACTCATAGGCTAAGCGTGGACCCAAGTTGTAGGCCAGTTCGATAGAAAAATATGAACTTTGCACCAGAGCATTGGAGAGCCATCGGAGAAGAGGTAGACAAGCTACTCGATACCGACTTCATTTGATAGGGTATAAGGATCGACCACCTCATCGAGGCCACTATAGAGTACAAGTTTCTAAGCTTCATAGACACCTTTCCTGAATATAATCAGATCAAGATGTACCCCGAGGACGAGGAGAAGACCTCGTTCATTACTGAGCATGACACCTACTGCTATAAGGTCATGCCCTTTGGATTGAAGAATGCTAGAGCCACCTACCAATGGCTAGTGAACAAAGTCTTCAAGGACCAAATGGGAAGGAACGTCGAGACCTATGTAGACGACATGGTGGTGAAAATCCTGAAATCTGACAAGCACACCTTGGACCTCGGCGAGACCTTTGTGGTGCTGAGAAAGTACAACATGAAATTGAACCCTAGCAAGTGTGCCTTCGGCGTCACATCGGGCAAGTTCTTGGGTTTCGTAGTCACTCAGTGGGGCATAGAGGCCAATCCAAAGAAAATACAGGCTATACTTGACATGGAGCCACTTCGATCCATCAAGGAGACACAAAAATTGATCGGCCAAGTGGCTGCCCTTAGTCGACTCAATTCAAAGTTGACCGACCGTTGCATACTCTTCTTCCGAGCCATCAAGATGTTGAAGTACTTCCAGTGGACTGAAGAATGCTAGAAAGCCTTTGACGAACTGAAGTCCTACCTCACCTCGCCCCCTCTACTCGCACGACCCCTTTCGAGAGAAACCCTGCTCTTGTACCTCTAGGTCGGGGACGAGGTCGTCAACTCTGTTTTGTTACAAGAAGATGAAGGAGTGCAAAGGCCGATCTACTATGTCAATAAGGTCCTCTATATTGGTCTACTATGTCAATAAGGTCTTCTATATTGCCGAGACCAGATACCCCGAGGTCGAGAAGCTAGCCTTTGCATTAATGGTTTCGGCCAGGAAACTTAGGCCCTACTTCCAAGCTCATAGCATCACAGTATTGACCAACCAACTCCTCAAGTCTGTACTCTCCAAGTCAAAGACCTCGGGTTGACTAACCAAATGGGTCATTAAGTTGACTGAGTTCGACCTACACTACTGGCCAAGACTTGCTATCAAAGAACAAGCCCTAGTAGATTTCTCAGTGGAATGCACTTTCAGCAAAGACCTCGGCCAAGAACCCGACAAGGATGAGGGACCTCGGCCGATTTAGAGACTGTTTGTAGATGGATCTTCTAATACCAAGAAAAGCGGAGCAAGCCTCATACTTCTCATCTAGGATGACAATAAGGTGGAATACGCACTATGGTTTAGCTTCTCTACCTCCAATAATGAAGCCAAATACGAAGCCCTTCTCGTCGGACTACAGCTTGAGTTTCCGAAAACCTCGGCCACCTTCTTCGAACTCATCTCAAGTGTCATGACCTTCCTGACCTAATTAACACCAGCACTCCTTGTTACTATCCAACCAACATCGCAAGAACAGACGTCATTCGTCCTATCAATCAAATGCCTAAAAGATGAAAGATTAACTCTGAACTCTGAACTGTGTAAAAGCAAAATTGGAAGATGAGGAACGACCACCCCAAGAACAATCTTTTTCCGGGATTGTATTCATTTAACGAATAATCAGCAAGACAAATAAAGAAACAAGAACAATCTTGAATCAAATTCCGAGACAATTAATCAGGAATTTTCAAATCGCAGACATATTCCCAAGAAATTTTCAAACTCATCATCACTTCAAACGAAGTTCTTCTAGACTCAAGAATCTTAAAATTCAAAATCTCAACATGCAAAAGAACAAAAAAGGATTTGATTTTACATCCAATTACCTGTGGGAGATGAGGAGACGGTTGCGTAATCAAATGTACTTTGGACTTCTCGGCTGCAATTTTTAAGCAAATATCAGTCAAGCGCAGAGAGAGAAGAGAGAATGGATACCTTTTGAAATAGCACTTGTTGCAAAATGCTTGTTTATCAGCTCCACAAACTTGGATGCCTTGGCCTCCCTATCTTGGGATCATTACTGGAAAGATGAGGAAGAAAAATTCGATAGCTGTTGTGCTGAGAATGAAGAATGGAGGGACATGGAGGAAACCAAAACTTACTGGAAATGGGTTCGTTATTATTGTTGTCATGTTTGCTCCCACACTGAGGTTTAATGGCTGCGAGCATTATCATTCCTTTGCAAAGTTTTATCTAAAACTTATACATCTGTTTCATCTTCTTCATAAACAGTGTCTTATTTTGAAGCGTAATTTTGATATTTTCAAAGATTTTAAATCGTCATTTGATGCCAGGTGATACACATAATTGACGGAACGGTGAATACTAAGTTCATACATTTTGAATGTTTAGATAGTGGGTTATCATGTTTTGAAGATTAGAGACCAATCGAGACTAGACTCAAAGTATAGGGTATTAATCTGAAATTTTCCTTTAATTTTTTTTATTTTATTTTCTATCAGTTAAATTAAGTTGTTGGCAACCTTGGGCAACGGCCAGTAGAAAAACAAACAATCCACTTGAACAATTTCTTGCTTTCAGTCCTTTATCTCTGGTTTCCAGCAGCATGCCATGTAAGTAGGGGTGTTTACAGTTCAGTTATTTTTTAAACCAAACCGATATTACTGGTTTCTGGAAAACAGGTAACCAAAACTGAACCAAAGTCAGTTAACCGTTGGTTCAGTTTACCAGATTTTTGGTTTTTTATATTTATAATATATATTATAAAAAATATATATAATAAAAACTAAAAATATATATTTTTGTATAATGAATATTTATTAATTTATAATATATAGAAAATGCAAATAAAATATATAGAAATATATGTATGCCAAGTGATTCGATTAACCTCCGATTTTCTATATTGGTTAATCAAAATCGAACCGATACTTTCAATTTTTTAAAAGTACCAAACCAACTGGTTCTGTTAATAAGATTTTCGGTTCGATTTTGATTGATTTTTTGGTTCAATTAAGTTTTTCGGTTTTTACATCGTAGGATTGGTTGCCGGAGACCAGCAACCTGAACACCTCTGAGAATACCCTAATCAACTTTAGCTGTTTAACGTCATTTGAAAAGACGACTTGAATGCCGTCTAGGAAGTCCCTATTCAGTTTTAACCCTCTAAACATCTTTCTCGTCTCATGACTCGAAACAAACCCATGAAAAACGAATTTGAAAGAAACAAGCAGAGCTTCATTGTTTTTTGTTGGTAAGAAATAAAAATGTCTTATTTTAAAGTTTCTTTTACTTTTAACTTTTTTATTTTGAAAATGGGAAGGAATACAGAGGGAACACCCAACCTCCTTGGGTTCAAACCAAGGTTTTAAAACTGTTGATTCAGACAATTGAACCGTTCAACCTGAAAACCGTTCAGGTCATTGGTTCCATTTTGACCCTGAACCATTATTTTGAAGAAAATCGTTAAAATAGTCAAAAAACCATTAACCCAAGAGATCTAAACATTGAACCATTCAACCCGATTGATGGTTCCTGGGTTGTATTCAGACTAATTTAAATTAGTTTAAAATAAAAATTGAAAAAAAAAATAGAAAAGGACTTCCACACCCCATACTTTGGTTCGATTGTTCCAGTCAAAACTAGATAAGGTTTTTTTGGACTTTTCAATTTTCCCATTTTGATTGTCATGGCTTTTATTTGATTTCTATAATAAAGAAAAAATAACAATCTTATAAGTGAACAAGTACAGAGATCACTTTGACTTCTAAGAGATCAGAAGAATGGTTCGATTGATGATATAAAAAATAAAGCTAACTATGCAGAAACCTGGGAGTCCAGAGAGTCAAAGAGATGAAAAAGATCTAAAAGGAACATGGCAATCGATGCTAAAATGACCTCCTTTTCTGTTCTTCTCACTTGAGCCAGCCACCGGCACCTCTTATTCTCTTCTTCTCTACTGAACCAACCAACTGCCCTTTTTGCACAATCTCACACCTACCCCTCAATCTCCTATAATGGTTAAGATGCAAAATCTACTATAAATTTAACTTCACCAGTTTGATCCACTCAAATCAGATGGTTGAACCATGACTAGAAACCACAGGCCAAAGTGATTCTATTTCCGAGTGGGTTTTTAAACCCTTGGTTCAAGCAATCCTTTTTAGTTCGAGTCCAATCTAACACCGGACAATCCTGGAATACTTGTGATAGCAAAGAAATAGTCATGTTATGAAGGCAATTCATACAAAATTATAGGTAAATAATAAATACACCCCTCCAGTAGAGCATGGATCCTGGTTTACTTATTATAGGTTGTCTACAACGTAGACATAATAAAGAAATATAAAACCAGCTGGCAAGTATACCCTGAATTCTAGTTTTTTTATCTTTAGTTTGTTTGCAGTGGAGAAAGCAAGTTAAAATTAGTTGCAACTATTCCCTGAACCATAAATGCACGTACACTGCAAACAGAGCCCAAGTAGTGGACAAGTAAGAGAGTATCAACCACAACAAGGCTTTCCACCATATAAGATTTAAAGAAGTGTTCTGAATATTAAGTAGCATTGAAGCTGAAACACAAGAATGGATTTGATCATTTGAATACAAAACTTCCTTGCATTTATATACTAACGAAAAATTCCAAAAAACCTTAACGAAAGCATTGTTAACAATATCAATTTCCTGTTCTTTCATGTTCTCTCCCACTCTATCTTCCATTCCTCCATCTAAAAAAAATCATCCATTACCCACTTCATGAGTAGTAGCTAAATGATCCTACTGCTGAGCACACTGTACCCTTTGTGCACCACCATGAACATCCTCATCTTCTTCGTAGGCCTCTTGGGCCTGAGCTTGCTTCCTCCGCATCTCTTCCTCAATGTTGACATCATGCAGCGTTGTCTCCTCACACTCATCCAGCTCCATGTCTGTCAGCTGCTGAGATGTTCTCGGTGGGAGCACGGCTTCCAACGCCTTGCACTGCTCCATGGTCAAAGAGTCCGGGAACTCAACTGTGAAGTGAATGTACAACTTCCCCCTCATGAATGGCCTCTGGTACATGGGCATGCCCTCATCATTGATGGCCTTGAATTGATCTGTCATTAGAATTTAGATTCACCAAAAACATCAATAATCACCACTATCAACTATATTTTCCAAAACTAGCTAAGCTAGAGTCTTCAGAACAAAATACAACCTATAGCTTACCAGGCTTCACTACTTCCCCGGGGCTAGATTTAATGAGGAGCTGCCTGTTATCCAAGTGAGTCAGTACAAACTGGAATCCACACAAGGCCTCAGTTAGAGACAAGGTGTGCTCATAAAAGAGATCATCTCCCTTTCTCTTGAACTTGGGATGTTCTTTCTGCTGCAGAACGAAGACTATATCCCCTGTGATTGTGTCAGGCTGCACAAGAACACCATTCAAGACAAAGTTGAGTCTATAGAGGACAACAAAACAGATGTGCCATGGGCAACAACACTATAATGCACTACATACCGCCTCATCAGCCTCTCCTTGGAACGTTATTCTCTGTCCATTCTGCATACCCTTGTCAACGATGACTTCCAGCACCTTCTTCTCCTGAATAACTTTCTCACCTTTGCACTGTGGGCATCGGTCCTTGTCGTTGATGGTCTCCCCAGTTCCTTTGCACTCATTGCAAGGGTGCTGCATCTGCTGAATCATAGAGGGACCGAGGTGCCTGATGGAAACCTTCATACCAGATCCTTGACAACCAGGACATTTCATGGAAGCACCAGATTTTGATCCTTTCCCCTTACACTTGGAGCATATCACATTCCTGGACAACGACAGCTTCTTAGATGTACCCACGTACAGGTCCTCCAGAGAGACTTTCAGAGGATGGATCACATCCTCTCCCCTCCTCTGCCTCCGTCCCCTGCTGCTACCACCACCTGATCATCACAAAACAACCCCCGTCCAAGTTTAATACGCCAATCAATCAACAGTAATGCTCCACAAACAAATAAAAGATAAACTGAATGAAATATCTCACCTCCAAATGGGTTGCCACCAAAGAAGGACTGGAATATGTCAAATGGGTCATGGCCACCTCCTCCACCCATTCCTTCCTTGAGAGCGTCCTCTCCATACTGATCATATATTTCACGTTTCTCCGGATCGCTCAGAACCTCATAAGCCTGAGCTAACTCCTTGAACTGCAATCACAATAATCCCATACTTTCAAATTTCAGATTCCCAATTCAATTGTAGCATGATGTAAATTACAATCAATATAATAGGTCGAGCATATCAAAAAACAACAAAAAATTCCGGAGTTTATACATTCCAATTCATAAGAAAAACCGCTGAAAAAAAGGCAAAATAGGGTGGAAAACGTCTACATCAATAGAAGGGCACAAATCTACTACCCAGACCCAGGATCAGCGTACCTAACACATACCCGAAAGGGCAACCAGACACGATTTTGCGTCATTGCCAATTTGCCAAACTCATAAATCTTTTTCTAAGCAACAAATCACCCATAAAACGCTGGAATCAATCAGCAAGACTCGATTTTTTTATAGCATTCCCTAATGCAACTAAAAGGAAGGATTCTTTTCAGAAAATATCCAACAACACCATCACGAAATAAACCCTTAAAGATCGTTCTTGTCAAAGCAAAACAAGAACAATTCAAATTGAACAATAAAACAATGAGGAAAAAGAGAAGTCCCATTACACAATACACAAAGATCGGCAACGGAAGAACAATCAATAACACAAATCCATAAACAGCTAAATTTACCTTCTCAGGATCTCCTCCCTTGTCCGGATGATTCTTAATTGCCGCCTTCTTATACGCCTTCTTCAAGTCCTCCGGCGACGCATTTTTCGGGACCCCAAGAATCTCATAATACCTGGTATTATCACTCTTCTTAGGCTGCCTTCCGAACATCTTCCCTCAGTATCAAAATTCCAACAGATATGAAAACCCTTTGCCAAATCAATTGAGAAACCAAAACCAGAAGAACCAAAATCCCTCAGTCTAACCAATAGCTCCGATCGAAATCCTTCACAGTGAAGCTTGCTTGATCTGAGATAGATTCCCCCGTCGAAGCCGAGGAAACCCTAACGAAGATACGAGTCGAGGAACGAGCGAGCGATAACTGGAACCTCGAGAATCGAGAACCACGGGCACGAAAGAATACGAGAGAGAGAATAAGTGGGGTGAATATATACGGGGCCACGCGCTTTATTTTATAAATCGACGGTGGAGATTGCTCTTCATCTTGGAGTTGGGCATTTGACCGCTCTAAGGAAACCCCACAATAGAAGACTCTGGAACTCTCTCCACGTTTCTCTAATGGAAGCCGGATCCTCACCCGTTCGATTCTTCATCGACGGCTCTAAACGTTCTTCTAGACACTTCTGTGTGAAATCATCACGCTTTCAGCCTCCTGGTGTTAAATTCGTTGGAAATTGGAAATTGGGTGCTATTCTCATTCTGCGGGTGCAACGCGGGAGGGCCCAACCCAACCCAACCCAGAAAAAAATAAAAAGTATTTACAAATCTAATAAGATTTTGTACCTTTTTCTTTCTTCTCCTATCCTTTTCTTTCAAACCAAATATAAAGGTAGTTCAACCTCGGTTCAATCTTATTTCAATTCGAATCTGGTTCAATTACTATATCCGGTTTAATTATGATACCAGAAAGATAAGATATTAGAAAAACTTATTAAAAAATCAATTAGGGGTGACCAATTTGGTGGTATTCATCAAAATTTATAGGGTGTTTTAATTGGTCAAAGCTTTTCCGATACTATACCATAGATTTTCATATTTGTATACAAACATATATATATATATATGATTTTAAATGAATATATTATTAAGGTTAAAAGTTAATTAGGACATCTTTAAAAGCGGTATCTATATATATTAAAATTGGTTCATCCACGTCAGTATATCTCTTCTTTGAGAGAAGCTATTTATCTTTTTTTTTTCATTTTTTGTATTTTTTTATTTTCTTTTGTTTTAAAAATATAAAATAGTAATCATTCCTTATCTTGATTAGATTAAACAACCAATAAAATGCGCTTTCCCTAAACCTAAATAATCTCTTCTCCTAAAATTTCTCCTAAACTACCTCCCCCACTTTCTCCAAAATTATCATTAATTCCAATTTATCTTCTAAATTATCTCTAATTCATATTTATCTCCAAAACTATCACTAATTTAGTAAAGAGTTTCTCTCCTAAATTATCTCTAATCCCTATTTATCCTCTCCCCTACTTTTTATCTATATCTATCTAAATAAAGTTTGGATTAAAAAATATAAGAATTATTTAAGTATTCTAACAAAATTATAGAATAACTTTAAAATATTTATTAAAAATACAAAAAATAATTTTATATTTTTACAAAATATATCACGAAATTATGTACTAACAATTTAAATTATATTTTTCCTATTATCAATTTAAATGTTTTTCAAATATTTAACAATATGTAATAGCTTTAAATAAATAAAATTCAAATAACAAAAAATTAAATATTTTATAGATTATTTAAATATTTATCATAACTAGATTTTAAATAGTTAAAATAACATAATTATGTAATAAATTTAAAAAATTTCTTCAAAGTAGAAAAATAATTATAACAAAATATTGAAATTAATAATAATTTAATATATTACAAAATTAATATGAAATTATGTAATAATAGTATAAACTATAATTTTATGGATAATTAAATTCAATAAATAATTAATATTTTAAAATTTAAATATTTTACATATTATTTAAGTATTTAAATAACTAAATATTTTAAATAAAAAATATATGTAATAAATTTAAAAAATTTCTTCAAAGTAGAAAAATAATTATAACATAATATTGAAATTAAGAATAATTTAATATATTACAAAATTAATATGAAATTATGTAATAATAGTATAAATTATGATTTTATGGATAATTAAATTCAATAAATAATTAATATTTTTAAATTTAAATATTTTACATTTTATTTAAGTATTTAAATAACTAAAAATTTTAAATAAAAAATATTTAACATAACTAGATTTTAAATAGTTAAAATAAAAAAAATATGTAATAAATTTAAAAAAATCTGAAAAATAAAAAAATAATTATAACATAATATTGAAATTAATAATAATTTAATATTTTTACATAATATTATAAATAACTAATTTCACTTATATCAAGTAATAATTCGAGAAAATAACTTTTAGAAACATTAATATTTATTAATAATAATTTTAAACTCTTAATCTGTATTTATTATATAATTATATATACTAAAATTAATGTCTATTGTATTTTAGTAATTATTTATTGTTTTTTGTGATAAATGTATTTTCAATGATTATGTATAATTTATTTTGTTTTGTTATTTAACAGAAAACTTTCAATAATTATTGGAGATTAAACTACTATTATTGAATTTTTTTTAATTTAATTTATAGTACTTATTGTATTTTTGTAATTATTATAATTATTGTATTTTTCATTATCAATATATTTTCAATAATTGTGTGTTTTCACTATAAATTTTTAATAATTATTGGAGATTAAACTATTGTTATTTATTGGAGATAAAACTATTAATTTAGCTAAAATTATGAGTGTTCATGAGTTGGTTCGGACCGGTTGTAGGCTATTTGGCCAATAAGTTGACATGGTCAGATTGGAGAGTTGGTCAATTGAAGCCGATTGACCTTTTTGTGAAAACTGATCCACTTAAGTTATATCGGTTTGGGTCGGTTTTCACAAAAGGTCAATCAGTTCAAAAGATTTAAGCTTAAAAATTTAATTTATTTTAAAAATTACAATGCAGTTGTAGGTACATGGTGGTCACTTAAACCATCAAAGAGGAGGTGTCAAACTAATACTATGCGAATGCCTGTAATGAGTCCATAACTTATTGCACATCTATGATGAGTTCATAACCCATCACACATCTGTGATGAACTCATAGTCGAAACAGGTTGTGATGAACTTTGGACCCACGTAAACTTGCGATGAGTTTAAATCCATCGCAGAACCGCAATGGGCTCTGGACCTATGTGGACTTGCGATGAGTTTAAAAGTTATCACATAATCGCAATGAGCACAAACTCACTGTAGATCAGAAACAAATAATAGAAACTCGTGTGTTGTTAAATAACATGCGTAACGAAATGCCCCATGAGCCTAATGAGAGTGCGCAAGCTAAATAATGACGTTCCCCATGCCACGTCTTTTTAAAAGGGTCACGAAATGAAGTATTACACTTGTATTATGAGAATCATCAAAGGAAATGAAAGTTCCTCTTTGAGATATCTCATAAGACGCGTGGTGAAACCCTAACAGTGTTCCCTAACAATTGACACCAAATTCAAGATTCCTTTTCCTAATGGAAACCAAACACTTTTGGCTCATTTCTTTCGGGACCTTGGGATCCCTCCCTATAAATAAGGGTCCAATTCATAATGAGATAACCATTCTATCACCTCATTTTCCCAAGCCTTTAGCCTACCTCCTATACTCGGCTTTCTTTTGTCCTTCAAGGAGATTCCCGTATGTAGCCTAACCATCTCACTTACATCAATTATTAAAAAAAAATTTAAAAATTAGATTTATGAAATGAAACATTTTAGACTAAGAAATATGGGAAATTTCTCACTTTTTCATATTAAAAATTATATTTAAAATATAAAATATTAATATATATCCATGGTTAGGTCATTCGATTTTGGTCGATTTACAAATGGCCAAAGTGAAACTAATCCAACTTGGTCAAATTGGGAATTTTTTGAACCAAAGCCAACAAAAAATACTAAAAAACTGACCAACTCAGGTCGAGTTGATCAGGTTGGTCGGTTTCATAAGTTTGATGAGTAAACCTTACTGAAATTAATTATTGTTATTTTTGTATTATAAATAATTTATTAAAAGTAGTATATAAAATATGAATAATTATTAATTATTTAAAAAGTTGAAAATATAAAAGAATTGTATACTCTTTTGTGTTTATATTAGGGTCATTTAATAGAACACACCTTATAGTTTTAAATATTTACTTAAACCTACCTTATAGTTTTCATTTTACTAAAATATCCCATATGTTTTACAATTTATTTACTTAATGAACCTTTCATTAAGGAGTATTTGTTTTGCCATTAGGCGCCAAATATATCCAATAGAGTGGTTGGTCGTGCCTTATTAAGGGCAAAATGGTATTTTTTATTTCTATTTTTTTAAAATATATTTAAATGAACAATAGGGTCAACACTGTCATTTTCCACTATCATTTAATGGAAGATTGATTAAATCCATTGCAAATTATAAGTGGTGTTTTAGTAAAATGCTAACTATAGGGTAGATTTTTAGTAAATCCATGAAACTATAAGGGTATTTTGTAAATGACCCTTTCTATTATTTATCTTTTGCTTAATAAATCCCATGCATCACACGGGTCCCCGTTAAGATAATTATTAATAAAACTAAATTTATTAAAAAAATTTATTCATATTCAATAAACAATAATTATTTTTTATAAATTAACATTAAATGAAAAATAAAATTATTAAATCTTTCAGATTTTCCCTACATCTCATGCGTACCTGCTAGTTAACTTTTAAAATTGATCAGGTGTCTAAGCTATTTAACATTTCGTTGGTCATAAGACATAATATGTTATGGGCATATCATATCAGTACTTCGAACAACCCAAATCTAGCATCGGACATCGGGCCCAACTCAATCTAACTGGGCCCGAATAGGACATATCAGCTTGACCTCGAATTTGGTTTGGGCCTGAATTGACCATAAACCCAGTCCAGGATGTAGTTTGATCTATTAAACAATACAAATTCGTCTTATGACGACTGAATCGATTTATTACCTTGTCTTCAGCTTCAGTAGTAGGAGAGGGATGATTTGTGGAGTTTGAATAGGTATTTTGATTGACACCTAACAATACGAACTGAGCAAACCTTAATCGCTGGTCAAGTGGCCTTAAAATTCTGAAACACCTCAATTCAAAGTGATCAATCAGAATTATAGTTAGTTGCTCATTGAAGGAACGATCTACGCGTAGATACTTAGGCTTATTTTGGAAAGAATACAAATAAAAATAATATGTACAATACAAATACATACAAAATAATACAAAATATAAGGTTTTACATTCTACATATTTACATTTGTACTCCTTTCAAACTGATCCTTAGGTTGTGTTTGGTATCGTGTTCATTTTGTGGGTGGACCGTTTTGTTCCATTACACGGGATGAATAGGGTGTTCAGCTGGTTGCAGACGAGATTGATCCCCACTATATCATGAACCAACCCTGTCTGCATCCTATATTATCAGCCACGGCATTTTCTCGTGGAGGGGTTCGTCCATAGTTTAACTTTGATATCCTAGTTCGCATCACTACAAGAAAAACAGGCAAAGGCGGCAATCGTAGGACCGTCGACTTAGCCTTTTAGACCGCCACCTTAGCTCTAAGGTGGCAGTCATGGGTCCGCCCCCTAAATCACTGCCGGCCTAGGTGAAGACCACCAGTTTAGACAGACAAGACCACCACCTTTGAGGACCGATCCGACGTGGTTCAATCATCCCTAAACCGGCGGTATGTTAGAACCGCCGGCTCATAGTTAATAAAGGCGGTAGTCACCGCCTTAGGTCTATCGAAATGTTGCTTTCGTTTTTCAAGCAATGGTCAGGACCGCCGGTTTAGATCTCTTTGGACCACCGCTTTAGGTCCGTCGAAATATTACTTCCGTCTTTAGGTGGCAGTCTGGACCGCCGGTTTTGTTTTTTAATTTTTTTTATTACTTATACCAATTTGATTTCAACATTTTTTGGTACCTATTTATTACAAATCTCATGGAAAATAATGCATAAAAATAAATTTGAATAAGAAATGCAAATTAAAAATAAAAAAAACTTTTAATTAAATTATTAATTATTATAATATCCAAAACAAACTGTTTAAATATAACATCCAATTAACATAAAAAAGTAAAAGGCATTGAAAAAAAATCTCTTGCATGCGCTTCCGATATGACAGGCATTGCATCTCCTTCATCGTTAGCATGAATTGAAGATGCTTTACATAGTCATCCTTCAAATACATCCCGAGGTAAGAAAGCACTCTGTGCTTTCAAGAACTGCTCCCGTCTTCTGACCTCAACCTCCCTCTTTGTTGCAAGCCTTTCTGCCAGTTGTCCAGCCATGTCCATGTACAACCTCATAGAAGCCTTCCTTCTCACCACTTCTGCAAATGGCACCTATAAGAAAGAACTAAAAAAATCAGAACATCAGATAATGAGCTTCTATGAACAAATGGCACCTATAAGAAAACTCATTCTATGCAACTATCCTTGTTTTTCTGTATCACATGGTTGGTATTAGTAATCTTAGGTAAGCATTGCTGGTCTCCAAAGGAGATTGCACAAACAAGAGATGATAAAGGAAATGCTTGCATTTGGACAACATGGCATCGAATGCCATGTTGGATCCCCTTCCCTTGGCATGGATGGTGCAAAGTGATGTTCCTTCACCAAGAGAAAATCAATAAGAAAATGCTAAGGAAATGATGTTTCTGCTATTTTAAATTTTGGATGTGCCTCACCAAAACCTAGGTGTGCATCACCTGGTTTTTTGTTGTATTTTGATTAATCAACCCTGAATCTGATGTTTGAATAGATAATTTACCATATTCTAACAATTCGGCTAGTTAGGTACTTTGGGTTGGAGAACAGTAGGTTACAACAGCCAAGTCCACTTGCAACACTACTTCCATTCACAAAACTGAGCCCAGCCCAAATAAAGCTGAAAGGGATTGGATTTAACCCAATTCAGTTAGGTTGGATTTGAATATTCACTACAGCTAGATGTTGTGTTGTCAATGTGTAAACACACTGTGGCCTGCCCAAGGTCTCCGACAATTGGGCTAGTCAAGAACTACTTTGTTTGGGGGCTTGGGGCACATTGGGTTACAAACTTGGCCCAGCCAAGTGAATATATCTTATCTCATAACAGACTTTTGTGACCTAACCAGAAAATATAAGAAAGGAATGTTAAGGTCAAGGGTCCAATCACCCTTAATCTAGCAAAAGAAGGCCCATTCTTGCAATCATAACTGATAAGTGAGAATGTCCATGTATTCAACATTCTCAATGAAAAATCTGTTTCCACTCAAGATATCAAAATTAGTTATTTTTGTCAATAAATAGTTGAATCTGAATTCTCAACCCCAGTCTAGAGAGTAAGAATTAAGAAATGACCTTAGTGCAGTGCATTTGTAGATTAAGATGTACAACAAGCAGAAAAAATAAAGAGATCAGCGTGACTAATCAGGATTCAGGAATAGGATTAATGACAAAATATGCCATTACTATATTACTATATCTAATAGAATTCTGTCTGAAAGCAAAGTTTTATTAGCAGAACATATAATGTTCAATATAAAATAACACAACTCTAAATATATCTAAAATGAAATTCTAGCTAGAACTGTTCTCAACCAAACCAGTTTGCCACAGATGAAAAGCAAAAGATAGCATATGGAGAAGTTACCATTTTCATCTTGGACATGCACAAGAAGTAAACTTGCCCCATTAGGATGTAAGATGATCATCCTTGAGATATCAATCACTGGACAAACACATCCCATATTAGCCACTTTGCAAAATGAAAGTGAAACCTTTAATTTTCAACTCCTTGCATGCAGATAATTAGAATCACATAATGAAATCATATTCCAAAACATACACTAATGAGACATCAATTATTGCTAGACAATTGATCACAGAGGCTGAACCAAGTAGAATGTATTCCTATAGATAAATGCATTAGTTTCCAAGTACCATATTCCCTCATGCAAGAAAAACTTCTCCACATAATAATACAAGTCTAGTATCTTGGAAGAGAAACAACAAGAAATCTAGAGTTTTGCCCAATGGGACCCAAAGGGCTTCAGTGGGTCCTACAAAACCAACCACACAGCCAAGCATGTCAAACAAAAGGAGTGCCTTCTTAAGGCAACTGATTTGGCAAACAGTTTGGAAGAAACTTGAATTTCCCTTTAGCTTGAGTAGTTAGTGGCATTTTTGTAATATTTTAACATTTAATTATTATATCCACTAGAAGTTAAAGCAACAAGTAGTACAGTCCAGCAACTTCTGCTGTTATCAAACAACCCATTAGATGATGATGAGGAAGATATACAAACGCAGAAAAATAAATAAAATTACAGAAAATATTGGGCATATCACTAATATTACATACAAAAATAAGTGTGATCAATGAGATATTGTATTATTGATGAAAATAGGTAAAAATACAAAAAAAAACAGCAGAAAAAGAGAATCAACGTCTAACCCGTGACCCATTAACTGGGTTAAACGGTTCAGCAGTTTAACTGGCCAGATAACTAGGTCATTGACTGAGTCCTTTTTTTGCAAGTAAATGGTTTGGGGGCTAGACAGACCTGAAAACCTGGCTAGGTGATGGGTCAATGGGTCTGACCTTCCAGTTCAACCATGGATTCAAAAACATTGGTTCCAACCCTGGCTCTATTAGGTTCTCCAAGTAATGGATCAGAACTGACCCTATATTGATTAACAACTTTTCGTCCCAAAAATAAAGGGAACAAAAAGAGGTGTAAATTAAAGATGGATAAGCTCCAAAATATTAAATCTCTAAAATATCCTAATATTTGCTATGCATTTTGAGAAAGTAGATAAAGGATCACTAAGCCAATAAATAAATAATGCCAAGCATAAGCAACAATGAAAGAGACCAATGATGACAAACATCCTCAGAATACTAAAATATGCATCCAAGGGGCTAGAACACACAAAGAAATCCCAAAATCAGCACAAATACAAGATTGAAATGTGAAACAAACTAAAAATAGAAGGAAAAAGAAATAAAGAACATTCAAGAGCTATAGATCATCTTTCCTTGATATTGGAATGATGGAAGAACCTCATAGACATGGATTTGTAGCTCTTTGGATATGGTTCACAAGTTCAGGAGGGATAGACAATCCCGCCATTAAATACTTAATGATCAAAGTGTGAGGCTTGAGCTCTTACCACTGTAATACCATGAATGGTGTCTATGCTCTGTTTGCTGTCACACTGGCATGCTGTTCTAATCAACTCCCAGCTCTAGGTCAAACATATTCCCAGAAGACAGAAAAATAGCTATCATGAAGCAAATATGGCAGTCTCCTTAGAGTAGGGTTTTTCAATCTCTCTCTCTCTCCCAAATTCTAACCCTATTATAATTGGGATTCCAAGTGCAGACCCAGAGCAGGACCAATAACCAATTAATAACAGGAACTAAAGAATGGGACCCGATCCTATTTAATAGGGTTGAGTTGGTTTGGTTATGTTGGGCTGACCTGGAGGCATGGACCATTGACAGTTCTAATTCTCTTGCAAAAAAACTACAATTAGAAAGATATCAAGAACAATTTGCATTTAATTAAACATAGGAAAAATCTTGGGATTGGGAACTGGAAGATTGTCAACACTCTAAATCCATAATTTGCCATGCATCCCATAGTAAAGAGGATTGGGAAATATGATTCACTCTCACCATGGAGATTATTGTACTAAAATATTGTTTGAAGTATGATCTCTACTGTGTTCACATGTTTTAGATTTTAGATTTGGACAGGGAAAAATAGAACTCAGTAGACAGCTAAATCCAGAGCAGCCACTAAGAATTCTAGTGATGGTTAATCTGTGAGGAAATTCATGAATCATGAATTTTGAATTTATGATTCAAAGTTGAAGGGGCCAGGCTACCAACCCCAAATACTCAAGCCTCCTGTGGCCATGCGTGCAACTTGGAATCTCCAACTTGCTATTGAACTCAAGCCTTACTAGATAGCACACTCAATTGAGTCGGTTCCAATTTTGCTCTTTTTTTTTAATGATTAGTTCCAACTTTGCTCTTCATCATTTTTAATCTTCTATCTTATTTCAATGGTTGAAGTCTTAGACAATGCAGAGCTCTCTTGGGCTGTTCTATATTTTTCTGTGTGTTGGTCTGTGGAGTCATGAGATTTTCATTAGGAATAATTATTATATTCAAAGAATATTTTCATTTATATATCAAAAGGAAAAAAAGGATGTTCATAACATTTCCTGATTATAGATGAGTTTGTCCTTCTAGAAGGCTAGAATGATAGAAGGTTCCCATAGTATCATCTTACCCATGTTTATGAACCACAAATTCATCAATCTAGATCCTAACCTCTGTTTCAGGCTTGAAAGGAGCACAACCACAAATTCATCAATCTTTCTTGAATTTCTACTGTTTTTATGTCGTTTTCTTTCTGTTGTCTTTCTTATTTAGATTTTAAGCTACTAATCTTTATTTTAAACAAAATTTCGGTTTGCAGCTATCCAACTCTATAGTTGTATCTATGCGTGGAGATTGTGCCATCATAACTAAAGCACAGTTGCACAATCAGAAGGTGCATCTGGCTTAGTGGTGATAAATGACAGTGAAGGTAGTATTTTTCTTTCTTTCCGTTCTTTTAATAAAAAAATAACAATAATTTAACAATGTGTAGATCAAACCTGTTATAAATAAGAGGGTTTAACATCCTTGTAAATAAAGCCAATGAATTCTCACTCGGGATTTCCTACTCACTTTTCCTACCCACTCTCTACCCGTTGTGAATTGGGGCCACACATCTCTATTATGAATTAAGAGATGTGTCGCCCCAATCACGGTGGGTAGGAAAAGTTTGTAGGAAATCCGGGCTCATGAATTCTTGTTAGCTTCCCAGGAAATAGGTACTTGTCCCTCCTAGTAGACATATAATCATTTTAATTTTATTTCAATGCCAGACACCAACATCACGGGATTGACTACCTTGGAAGTCCCTCAAAGGGACAAAATGTAAACAAGGACTTGAGTTCAATACACAAATATTCTAAGAAAGAACTCCAGTTTTATTGGAGATCCATTTGGACCTATTTTCAATTTTCAAATCATCTTAGACCACAGGCAACATTCAAATATACTATGTATACCATAGAAATTTCTCCATACATAAACACCATTAAGAAAGTAATACTGCATAAGCTATATGAGAAGTAATCAAATTGAAATTGATAATAGTCCATGACATTGCTCCAGCGAAGGGTTAGAACTTACCTTCTCTTGTTCACTGCCGATGATTATGAAAACTATTAAAAGAAGGGTTAGAACTTACCTTCTCTTCTCTTGCTCCAACGAACAGGGGTCGGTGCTTGCTTGGATAGCGCCCAAAAACTTCCCTGTTCTCAAGCACAAAGGGAAACCCTAGCTCAAACGAACAGAGGTCACTCGGAACGTTACCTTCTCTTCTCTTGCTCGAATGAATAGAGGCCGCCCAGAAAAATCGCACAACCCTAGCTCTAAATCACCTAGAAAATCACACAACCCTAGCTCTAAATCGCCCAGAAAATCACAAACCCTAAATCACCCAGAAAATCTCACAACCCTATCTCTAAATCGCACAACCCTAGATTTTCTTCCCAACTTTCTTGCTCGTGAAGAATAAGTTGTCATCTTCAAAATTTGTCTGCAAGGTTCTCTGTTGGAAACCAGAGAACCTTATGTCTTGTCGAAGAGGAGAATTCGCGCGGGAGAAATAAATTTTTTTTCGCCTCCCTACCGGTTCGTTGTAAGGTTGGACCGGTTTAATTCCGATTCACAGTAAAATCCGCCGAATATATTTTAAAAATCGCTGGGTCAGCTATTAAAACAAATCGGGCCTCAGATATCCCTATAGCAGCAATGAGAAAGAACGCCGGCTTTGACTGTTTTTCTTGTAATGCATACTCCCGGGAAAACCTTATCTCAGACTCTCTGCTTCCCGTCATTTTACCGTTGGAGGTCTCCACCGCCTGCCGAAGATTTCTGTCTTTGTGCTCAGCCAAAACTCTCCATCACCCACCAAAGATCTTTGCCTCTGTGCTCCACTGAAGCTTTCTCTGTTGTTACTTTTCTTTAGAAAAGACATAGAATCAAACTCAGTTAGGAACAAAGGTATCAAACTGTTAGAAACTTATCCCAAGATTTGGATGTTATCAAGGCTGATCTATAGTTGAAATTTGCTTGAGGTATCAATATGGCTGTTGATAACAGTGCTTTTATCTTCTCCAAGATCTGATTAAAAGCTTGAATTTATATAGTATATATCTTGTTGCCACGGAATCCTCTCCATTGTATGCCAAGGTATAGTTCTTAGTTCTTCTCAAGTAGCTATGGATATTTTTTACTTCAGTCAAATGTTGTTTTCCCAGATTGCTTAGGAATCTATTGACCATCCCAACTGCATAGAAAATATCTAGCCTAACAAAGCGTGGCATTCATATCACTTACCTACAACCAAACCTCATCACTAATGCCTTTTAATGGATTAATTTTTTAAGTTAAATTTTAAGTCTTTTTTTTCAATAAATAAGCTAAGCCACTAGATTTGAAGCTTCTTCTATGTCAGTCTACATATCTTGTTAATATTTATAAATTCCAATCTAGTGAGAAAATTTTGATACATCACTTCCAACTGTAAGTAGTTTATGAATAGATGGCCTTGATTGATAGAATGAGGTCCACTCAATTCTAGGTAGATTTGCTTTACTTCCATTTTCAAGCAAGGAATAATTGATGATTTGGCTAGTCTATCTTAACTCAGAAACCAAAAACTGGTTCAATAATCCATCACTATATGAAAGCTTAGAGGGGTTACTGAACCCTCTGATGTCCCTTCACTATATAAAAGCTTAAGGCACCCTGATAGACATGCATGATTAAAAATATCAATAATCTAGATACACCCAAATCACATATTCAGAGGTTTTTTTTTAACCAAATTAACTATATGCACAGATAGATATATTAGAATGTTCATTAATGGTTAAACTTATTAAAAATTTCTGGGTCTCTACATTTAGCATTTTAGTAATCCTGAAAACCAATTTCTGGCATACATTATGGTACAATATATATTGATACTTTGAACCATGGGACCAAATCCAATCTATGACATGGTGTCCAATGCTGAAATTTCAGGGTCTTCCTGCCCCCGTTCTAAGATATTTGAGACCAATCTTTATAAGTTATGCCACACTACCTATATTAACTGCATTTTGCACAATTCAAACATGTTTAAAAATTAAGATAAAAAAGGGAAGACTTATTCCATTTCAGAACTTGCATATTACACTTACTTATAGGCTCACACTTTGACTGTATCACAATGTTGATTATTGTGCCTGTATTGAAAATTGCAAGTGTTCTGCTTTGAAATGAATATATATCATGCATGAGCAATCAGGCATGACAGAAAACAAACAATATAGGGTGAGGGCAACACTATAATTTCCTTAGTGTCCGAGACTGACAGGTCTGATCTATAGATGAGAGAATAGTACACGTTAAAAGCCCCGTGTATTATCCTAGGGACAGAGACTCAGATGGTCAAGTTAGCCAAGTGCTCAAAGAGGGGCTGCACTAGGCAAGAAACGAGGGCTTAGAGCTTAGTCCTTAATAGCTAGAATAGTAAGGAGTAAGGAATGTGTCTTTACCTTGAAGTGAGTGCCCCCTTTTGTAGCTAACCTTGCCTTAGGAGTGGTTGGAAGCAGTTGGTGATGTGCAACTAGAATTTGATCTGGCTGACGCCACATGGTGCGATCTAAGGCCTTCCAAGTATTCCTACATCACTTGCCCCTCACTCTCGAGGGTATAGTGGTCAAGGCGTGTTGTGTGGAGACCTCAACTTCGGCCAAAGAAAGTACTGTAGAGCTGCATAGAGGCATTGGCCTCGACTAAAAAGAGTGTCGTGTAGTCATGTGGAAGTGCTAGCCTCAGCTAATGAGCGTGCCGAAGAATTTTGTGGAGGCATTGGCTGTCTGCAAAAGGCTCTTTTAGGCAGTCGTGTGGCGACTGCTTCCCTGTTCATTCTCCATCTTGGTGGAGGATTGTCAAGGGTTGAGAACGCATGACCGTGGCCTATACGAGTGTGGGAGGTTCACACTAGTTGGTTGTGCCCCGTACGGGTGTCGTCATCCAATGCAGGTCCATATGCAGGATGGGCATTGGTGTTAACTAGTCAAGTCCGTGTGTGAGATAGTTTGGAGGGGCATCTAGTTCGTCTCATTCTTGACCCGGAGGTCAATGCCACATGGAGCCTGTCGGTTCGGGTTGTCAAATTGGCTAGTCTGTGGCTATTGGATCAAAGTGATTTGAGTCGTATATTTTTCTTTAAATATTAATAGGGACACTGGATGAGCAATTCTTCAACATTCACTTGTGATTAGAGACCTCGGCTACTAGTAGCCACTTCCCTAAGTTTCCTCTCTTCAAATGAACATTCAGTAGAAGACTCCTGTCTTCAACATGTTAGCCTCAGACTCTGGACCTAATTGTTATGCCCTCCTTGACTGGAGTAACCTTAGCAGCTCTCCTTCCACCATGGCCAATAGTGGGAGTGACAACAATGATTCCAAGAACTCCCCTCAGGTGCCTAGTGTTTAGGTGCTGAGGGAGAGAACCGCTCCACAGGGAGACAAGTGCGACTGACAGGGTGTGGACTCTCCCAATGAAAGCATTGGCTCCACGAGGCCAAGGGCTAACACCAGGGGGAATGCCTTGGGCTTCCCGAAGTGATGGAGCCAGAGGAGGCTGAAAAGCCTACACCCGAGGAGCGGGCCGAGGCCAAACACTAAGGCATGATGTTGGTGCAATACCCCCACTCCAACATGGATAGTGAGCTTGGTAAAGAGTAAGTGAGAGCCCTGTCCAAAATGTACCATATCCCAAGGGGCTATAGGGTTAGGGTTCCATGTGTCGATGATTGGCCATGGCAACTCTCCTAGGGGGAGGTGTGTGTGCACACGCATTACATCCACTTTGGCCTTCACTTCCCTTTGCCTCCCCTCCTCGTAGACATCCTTAATTACTTCAATCTTTTCCTTAGTCAGTTTGCTCCAAATGCCATTAGGACCATAATGTTCGTATTAGTGATGGCCTCCTCCGAAATGTGATTGTGACCCTAAACATCTTCTAGGGTTTGTTTGCATTGAGGAAGCATCTTGACGTGGAAGGTTTGTGGTATTTCTAGAGCTGACAGGGTAGGGTCAGTTTGCATTGAGGACCGTAGTAGTTGTGTTGGTGATGGCCTACTTCCAAGATGTGATTGTGACCCTAAACATCTTTTGGGGTTTGTTTGCATTGAGGAAGCATCCTAACGGGAAAAGTTTGTGGTACTTCCAATGCCGACAGGGTAGAGTAGTGGACAACCCATCATCCGTCCACAACTAGAAGAAGAAGTTCTTTTTTATTATCTATCCATAGGATTGGTCCTTTAGAACTAACTAGGGAACGCTAGACTTACTGGCCGAGAGGATCAGGCCGTACAACAGCGAGGGGGAGTCGACTGTGAAAACTCAGCTTCAACAGATTGGGACGATCCAGGGTAGTCTCCTTGTTGAGGAGGAATCCTTGGTATTGGCTAGCCTTAGTCCTTCCCCCATTGGTATGGGCACTCCTATTGTCGGCTAGTTGTGTCGCTTGCTTAGCTCTTGTAATTGCTCTTCTAATGTTAACTTTTCTTCTTGTTTATAAAATGGACAGTGGATTAGAGAGGTTGTTGTAAGCTGTGGTGGCAAAGTCAAGGAAGGGCCTAGCTGAGGGGAGGTTGAGGAAGTCGGACAGGAGGGAGCCGCCTTGATTGAAGGGGAATACCGAGGCCGAAAGGAGGAAGGTGGCCATGCTGAATTGGCTAGCGGAAAATATGATTTATGATGTGCTAGATGGCTAAAAATCTATGTGCCATGTAGTGGAAAAACCTCATCTATGATGTGCCATAGGCGAAAAACTCATGTGCTATGCAGCGGAAAAACTCATCTACTATAAAGTGGGAAAACATGTGTTATAAAGCAGAAAAACATGCGTTAAAAAAACAAAAGATTCTGATTTGTGATGCGCCAAAGGGTGGAAAATCCTTGTGCTATGCAGGGGAAATCATTATGTGCAAAAGGGGTGGATACTCTCTGTGCTATGTAATGAGAAACTTGGATTTCTGATGTGCCAAAGGGTGAAATTTCCATGTGCTATGCAGCGGAACAGCTCATAAACTATAAAGCGGGAAAACATGTGTTATAGTGTGGAGAAACATGTGCTAAAAAAGCAAAAAAATTATATTTGTGATGTGCGAAAAGGGCAAAATATCCATGTGTTGTGCAACGGGAAAATTCATGTGCAATAGGGTGGAGAAACATGTAGTAATAGCAGAAAATATTGATTTGTGATGTGCCAAAGGGTAAAATGTTCATGTGTTGTGTAGCGGAAAAAATTCATGTGGAATGGTGAAAAGTCTTGATTTATTTTGCACAAAAAAATCACGTGCAATGGTGGAAAACTTATTGTGCATAATGATGACAAGACTGAAAATTTGAAAATGTAATAACATATCAAATGCAAAATGTGATAAAAAATTCAAGAAGTATCATCTCAACATATTCGATTTAGCTTAATTGTCATTTCTCACTTGATCATTCTTATTGTTGGGAATCATTTCTCTTCATATTTTTACTACACTTTTCATTTTTCTTTTTATTACTTTTTTTTTTGTTTTGTTTTTTTTA